TCACATGCAAATACAAATATTGTATTTGTTCCCATTTTGTTTTTTTTACTTCAAAATAAGATATGTGCAGTATGCATAGGAATTTGTTCATAGTTTCTTTTTAAACTATAGTCTGGCCCTCCAACGGTCTAAGGGACAGTGAACTGGCCCCCTGTTTAAAAAGTTTGAGGACCCCTGGTAGGGCTATAATACTTCTTTTAAAAATAATTTCTGTTTGTCAGGACCACTTGATTAAATAGGATGCCAGGTTTTTTACACTGGCATTTTTTAAATGAAAGAGGTCAGAAAAATTCATGTTACTTTATAACAAGAAACGTGTGCAGAACGTGTTTAACTTTGGGAGAATTTAATTTTTCTAACTTTGCTATTCACACATAAAACAAAGAATTAATTTCGATCAGTGATTATAAATTTTCTTTGTATAAGAATGTGCCTGTGGAAAATGGGAAAACTACATGCAATTTACTCTATCCACAAGGATTCTGATCTAGGAGGTTTGGAGCAAGCAGGGTGTTGAGCCCCAGAACTATTGGGGCTCAGTCATTCTTTGTTGTAGTGACTGTTCTGTGCATTGTTGAATGTTTAGCAGCATCTGTGGCCTTTATCCACTAGATATTACTAAAGACCTCTCCTTCACTCCTCCTCTTGCCCCCAAGTTGGATGATCAGAAATGTCTATAGACATCACCAAAAGTCCGCTAGGGACAAAATTGTGTCAACTTCTAAACTTGGATTGACAGCAACCTTTCCTTAGCCAGATCCAGAAATCTGCATTTTTTACTATCCCCAATGATAATGTGAAGCAAATTTTCTTACGCTGCACCTTGAGAAAGCCTGATTTGCCTAAGTTTAAGGTCTTTTACAGCCACTGTTAGTTCATTAACTTAAAAAAAAGTGACCAAGCATTTTTACTAATTTTTCTATGCATGTTATAAATTGCAGGTAAAAGTCATCCACATCATGTATAGCCAAGGTTTTATAACATTTGGGTATTTCTCTGGAAAATTGTCAAAATGTAGTTTGATTGCATCCAAATGTAATTGTCAAAATGCATAGCTAAAAGTATGATGGCATTTGTTTGAATCTAAAAATTCTTTGTAAAGAAATTTCTTTTTTAGTTGCTATGATTGTATACATCTTTTTGTTTCATTAGGATCAGGCAGCAAGAGACATGAAGAGACTTGAAGAAAAGGACAAGGAAAGGAAAAACGTAAAGTAAGTTGTTTTCTTCTCCCTCACAAAGATTATATAAAAATAAACTATTGCAAAACCTATATCTCTCAAAATTTATAGAGGAAAAATTAAAATACATAGATTCTTGACTTGAAGCTACCCCTGTATCTTGAATAACATTTCTGCAGATAGTAGAGATGACAAAAGTCTTTAAATTTGCAGTAATTAGAAAGCATTTTTTTTGTAAAATGGTATTTGATGTTCTTTAGTTTTTGTTCATTGTTTTGGGGGGGTTTTTTGTGTTTTTTTTTTAGTAAACTCAAGAATGAGTTACAGTTGGAGTTAAGAGCGCATGATTACTAAAGTTTGGGTTCACTGTTCTGAGTTTTGTTCCATAATTAATTAAAAAAACAGGTAATGCCTATAGGGTTGATTATGAGAAGTAATGGTGATTATGCCATTTAAAGACTATGTATATTGTTAATAACAGTCTAATTTATTTAAGGAGTTAGACCGTGCTTTAGCAGTGAGTCAGAACTTGAAATATATTATTTTCTGGAAAAAGGAGTTCTCCTCTGTCCCTTGCTGAATACACACTCTTAAAGTTTTTGCTACCAGACAAAAGTAGGCATAGTTGGACTTTTCCCTCTGCTTGGTAATCAGTGCTTCAGGCCCTCTCCAAGGTTCCTGTGCCATATGGAGGTTCAGCCCTCTCTTTGGTTCTTACTGTGTGTTCATCCTCTTTCAGTAAGCCTACACTAGCGGCGTAGCTTGCCTTAGGAAGAGTAAGTGCTCTAGATTAGGCAGAACGTTTGATTAGAAAGAGATGGTTGTGGGAACTAAGCAACCACACTTTCTAAAGCTCCTGATAGAGTCAGCAAAGGGACGTTTGTCCCCTTCTCTAGGTGAACTGCTTAGGAGTTTTAGTCTCAAACTTACCAAGAATTGATTTAATTTTTTTTCTGTCTCCAAGTATTTTATAGCTGAATGCAATTACTCCAGAGGTAGGGGACATTAAGAAAATTGTGACCTATTTTAGTGTACCAAAAGCAGGATTTTTTTTTTTAATATAAAATGCTTTTCACAACTGCTTGGTGTTTGTTGTATGGGATTGACAAGGCTAGGGTCCTTGGGTATATATCTTCAGAAGTTTTTTACTCCTTATACCTTGTTAGTAATTGATGTTTCTAGGGGTACCCTAGTACCCCATTCAAAAGAAATGCAAACTGCCACATATAGAGTGAAGTTACACATATATGATGGATGGATAGTTTACAGTGTGCTTATTGCTGCTTTGTTGTTATTAGTGTTGAGAATTCCTGTGCTGTATGGAATTCAACACTAATCTGCTATAAGTATGGAGCTGGGTATGTGGAACATTTGCAGGGAAGTTTGTTTCTCCGCTTGTTTTTCCAGGGGTATTCGAGATGACATTGAAGAGGAAGATGACCAAGTGAGTTCCTATGCAGATTTCTATCTTTTATGTTTACCCCACAAAGTCTACACTGAGGACAAGCTAGAGCTTGCCTTCACTGAAATCGCCATTCCTGAAACTCAGCAGGGAATGTCATTTGACTTGCTCCTTTTCTACATGTGTGACCAGTTGGTAATACAGAGATTAACATGGCCTTCCTCCATGTTGAAGATGGAACTTTTGATCAACTGTGACATCAAAAACAAATATGAGCTTTATTCAGCTTGATTTTTTACAATCCAAACTAATGTGTATTCTCATAAATCAAGAAGTAGAGTAGTATGGGATCTTCTGAGGCCTCTAGCAACATCCAACCTCTACCTCTTTCTAGGGGTTCTGTTTGTGATTTTTATATTTCAAGATGGAACATTAATGACTGTCCTTGAGTATTTTTTTTCTCATTGGTCAGTTATGGGATGGTGAGAAGGGAACCAAAGTGAGCAGTAGCCCTTTCCAGGTTTATGACCCTTCTAATCAGTGGCACCTTCTAAAATTGGATCGGTAAAGCCACAGCATGTGTTCCCACAGCTCTGGGCAGGGTAGGTAGACACCTCACCCCAGGAACGCTGTGCAACAGACAGATTTGTAAGTCTTCTGTACAGTTAAATCATTCTGTAATATTGTCTCACTCATTTCTTCTGATTGTCCCTCCAAGTACTGGTATTGTTAAAGGAATCATTGCTAGTAAAAGTCTTCTTACTTGGTAGGTATTTAAACTGCAATTATCTGGTACGCAGTGTGCACTAATTACAGGAGCAGAAATGTTCCCAGTTGTACTTGGTATGATTATGTTCTTGTGCTTTCCTGCAGGAAGCTTATTTTCGGTACATGGCAGAGAACCCAACTGCTGGTGTGGTTCAAGAGGAAGAGGAAGATAATTTGGAATATGATAGTGATGGAAATCCAATTGCACCTTCCAAAAAAATCATTGATCCTCTTCCTCCCATTGATCATTCAGAGGTATGGTGTTTTTTGATGAATTTGATTCTAGTTTCAAGCCAATAGTTCTTCAGTGTTAATGCTTTTCACAAACTCAATATCTGAGTACTCAATATCTGAGTACTCCTGATTTATACTCCTTATAAGAATATTTGTTCTTTGGGATCTTGTCAGCTCTGCTAAGTGGTTGAAACAAAAAGTAACTGAGTGATTGAGGCTTTATAGCCTATGTTGTTCAAGGTATAGCTAAATTGCTTGTTCACATTTGATTATATGTGAAGAATTTTTTTTCAATAAATTGTACTTCTTTTCTAGACCAGTGGTCGCCAACCGGTGGTCTGTGGACCACTGGTGTTCTGTGAGATCATTTACCCATCTTCCTTTCAAAATGGACCGTTAGGCCAGCATTTATTTTTTAATTGCTGTAAACCTTTACTATTTCTCACAGATATGGAGAAGATAAGAGACTGTTCTTTCAAAGGGGTACCAGGAATTACAGGTTCCTTAAATAAGGAAGAGGAAATGAGGATATCAGTATATTCACTTGGAAAAAAATCAGTATTTCACCGAGGTTAAATATCAGACTAGACCTTTGATACCCTAGTAATTCTAGATCTAGAACAATGGTTCTCAAGTGTGGTCCAAGGATTCCCGGAACGATGTTTTCAGGGATTCTACAGAGTCAAAGAATTTTCATAATGCTAAGATTTTTGCTTTTTGTTTACTGTGTCAGCATTTGCATCAGTGCTTAACCGTTTGGCTGCTGACGTATTTTTTCGGACATATGCCAAAACTGCGGCACTAATTGGTGTGTATGGGGAAGAATGTAAAACACTTTTTATACAGCCAAAGCCGGTTTGGCTCAGTGGATGGAGCGTCGGCCTGCGGACTGAAGGGTCCCGGGTTCGATTCCGGTCAAGGGCATGTACCTGGGTTGTGAGCACATCCCCAGTAGGAGATATGCAGGAAGCAGCTGATCGATGTTTCTCTCTCATCAATGTTTCTGGCTCTCTGTCTCTCTTCCTTCCTCTCTGTAAAAAATCAATAAAAATGTTTACTGCTGCATTCCACGCACCGCCGCAAATTTCGTCCAGGTAGCTTTTCAAGACTAAATATTTCGCTTGGTGTAGATGATGTAGGTTGTTTATATGCATTGTTTTTGTTTGCGAACCATTCCTTTTCAATTTCATCAATAATATTTGAAACAAATTGTAACCTGGTTAGCTTTTTACCCTTATAATTCTCGGAGTATATGATGTAGGCGTTTAACAGAAAAAAAAAGTAGATTTGAAATATGTAATATTATTAGAACAATTAAAAATCGTATGCTCCGAAAACGCAACGTGCTTCACTGGACGCACAAGTTCTAGTGTTTTGGAGCAGCATTATTACGCTCTCCGCAGTCTTGGCATAAAAAAAACAGGAGCGCTATCGCGCTCTTCGCATTTTTGGAGTAACATAAGAAGAGCACGATAGCGCTCCTTAGCAGTCAAACGGTTAAAATCAATGGTAGCTAAAACTATTCTAACACCTTAGCATGAGTCAACAGTGGTAACTAGCCCTGGCCGATTGCTCAGTGGTTAGTGTCAACCCGTGGACTGAAGGGTCACAGGTTCAATTCCTGGTCGAATGCACATATCACAGTTGCAGGCTCAATCTCCAGCCCCAGTCTCTTTCACATCAATGTTTCTCTCTTTCCTCCCACTCTTCCCCACCTCACTCCCTTCCACTCTTTCTAAAAAATCAATGGAAAATATCCTCAGGTGAGGATTAAAAAAGACAGTGATACCAACTGTTCTTGGAGTCAATATACTCT